ATATAATATAATATAATCATTACTTCGGTAAGCAACTGGAGTATTAAGATACATTTGTAATTAAGTCTGGCAGTTTTCCGTGTTATTAGACATGTTATAAATTAATTGTAGCAAGTGTCTAGTAAAGAAAACTGCAAGATTTATATAGACATAATTAGCTGTTTTTAAATGTGTAATTACTTTAAGTAAATAAATGAAAATTAAAATCGAGTTTTGAAWAGATTTTGCCAATATAAACAAATCGATGTTTTATTTTGAAAGTTGCCCCAGCGGAACAGGATGAGTTAATTGTGAAACTCCATAAAACAACAACATCATCCTCCACGGTGTCCCCGACAGGTGAACTGGTTTTTCTGGAGAAAAACAGTAAACCTCACCGGGCGGTGTTTCCTCCGCGGTGTTCGTTTTTATCTTTATTTTAATTATTCTGGCGGGATTGTGTCAGGATGACGAGTCTGAGGGTGTTCCACACGCAGGTAGCGTCCATCATGGAGGCGCTGACYAAAACGGCGGCGGCGGAGATCTGCCGGCTGGTGGACGACAGTTACTCCGTGCTGCAGCTCGAGATCTCCCGCAGCCACAAGGAGAACGAGGCGCTGCGGAGGAAGCTGGAGCTCATCGAGTCCATCATCGCCCGGGGACACCGGAGGGACGGCGGGATGCTGGAGCAGGAGCGCGAGGTGCTGATAGGTTCAACTTCCGGTGAGTTTCTGGGCCTTATCGCTCACACCAAACTTCATTAGGAAAACAGTAAAAACAGAGATTACGTATATTAAAAACACAATTAATTACATATTCCTGTAAATGTTATGCCTTTTTTGAACCTTTTTTAATTCGGCATAAAAATAAAAGCCAAACTCAGCTTTATTACTGGTAGGTCTGTGGAAAAATCTTCTAAATATTTGTTTTGAATTTTAAACCAGGCAAAGTGAGTTTACAYCTTTATAGCTAAAATCCAAAACTTTTATTAAATTCTCTATATTTGATGACAGATCTTGACTTTACAATTAACTATTGAAGTTACTGTGTTTTTAATAATCGCGGACCTTGAAAAACCCTAAAATGACTAAAATAGTTTTTACTTTCCGCACTCAGAGCACATCATAGAAGAAGATCTGTGCTCCACTCAGCTRAAGATCTCCAACGTCAGAGGATGTGGACAGGTCCCCGTGTTGGAGCCGAGCTCAGAAGCTTCTCCTGTCTCAGCAGAGGTGAGACGGGTCGGTGCTGAACATCTGTGTGGTTTCATTCTCCTGGGCGAGAACCTGAAGCTAGCCGTAACCAGCTGTTGTTCCACAGCTACAGCAGATCAGCTGTTGAAAGAAGGCAGAGTTAACTCCTTGAATTATTTGTCTTTGTTTCTCAGGGTTCTCCGGCAGCAGCTGTGGACGAGCGGATCAGAACCCATCAGGACCTGGTTGTGATCAAAGACGATGAAGATGACGTGAAAGACGAGCTCGCCGCCGACAAACTTCTTCTGAGCGAAGAAGGTAAGCGAGAACAGCGAACACTTCCTGTGTGGACTGAGAAACAGGAAGTGGTCTTCTTCTAGAACCGGGTGGTACCCAGGTCCGAGCTGACCACAGATCCAACCTTCTGGATCAGTTTGTTCTGCCTCGTCCTCCATGTGAAACTCTTCAGATTAAAAATCAGCTGAACATTACCTTCAAAATAAAAKGCTGCTAATCATTTTGGTTTTATTTTGAAGGTTTTCTGCTCTTTAAATTCTCCAGTTGGAGTTTCTGAAACCTGTTTTGTGTTCAGGAACCGAGGCGCCGCCGTCCCAAGCAGACGACACGGACGAAGGCCCCTCCTCTTCCTCCTCGGCTGCAGACCTGCGGCTCTGGGACCAGAACAGTACCGAGCTGCCGGAGGACTTCGGGTCCCGCAGCGCGCCGGCGTCTCCGGGTCCTTCGAGGACCACAGGAGGCGGCTCTTCAGACGCCATCTTGGATTTGGCGTTGGAGTCGGACGGCGTGAGGAAACGCTTCCCGCTCGTGCCGGGGGGAAGCCCCGCCCCTCTGCCCGGTACCTCTGAYCCAAAAGCAGGCTCGTGCCTGATCGCTCCAGTCCCGTACGACTCGGAGCTGGACCTCGGCTCCTCGTGGACCAACCCGGGTCTGCCCAGCATGGTGCCGGTCCCTCTTCGGCCATTTTTGAAACCGGACCAGCCGCCGGCGCTCCTGGCCCTCGGCGGGTCCAGGCTGAACCCTCTGGACCTGAACCGGTTCTGCAGGGACCGGCGCTTCGTCTGCACCTTCTGCAACAAGTGCTTCTCGTCGTCGCGCAGCCTGGAGACGCACATGCGCGTGCACACGGGCGAGCGACCGTACAGCTGCGCGCAGTGCGGGAAACGCTTCACGCAGTCGGGCCACCTGAAGACGCACCAGAGTGTGCACACGGGGGAGAGACCCTTCGCCTGCGAGCACTGCGGGAAGCGCTTCGCCGCCAAGCAGAACCTGAGGATCCATCAGCAGAAGTACCACGGMGCCGACCGGACCGCCGCGCCGGTTTAACTCAGGACTCGAACCCTGATGGGCCGGAACCCTGCTGGGATAAACGGACCTGGAGTTCTGTGAGGAGCCGGGCCTGGAGTCGATTCAGCTTTAAAAAAAACAGCTGTTCAAACGGTACCTGGTTCTGATCCGGTCCTGCTCTTATTAGAAACAGTTCTGTTCAGTTTGTTCTGATCTGTTTGAGGTGAGGAAACAGATTTTATTTTGTTGAACTCGCCTCGTTATTTATTGTATTTATTTTATCATGTTAATATTTTTCATTCTGTCGTGTTTATTAACCCAGTAAAAGAAAATCTGTTTGTTGTTTTCATGATGAGGTGAGTTTCTGACATCTGAAGAAAAAGTTATTTTTTATAAACTTTGAGGAAATGAAAGTTTTTTGATTTTCAGGTTAAACTTTGATTTGATTCATAAAAACCTTCAGAACATTTTGTCATGAGCTGAGGACTAACGGACCTGTTCTGATGGACCTGTTCTGATGGACCTGTTCTGATGGACCCGTTTGACCCGTTTGATTAGCAGCAAACATCAAACCACAGAACTAAAATCTTTTCTCTGCTTTTAGGTTTTAATCAAAATGTTTCTGAAAGTTTCACAAACATCACTTAAAAGGAGAACTTGTGATGAGACGTGGATTCTGCTCCAGAACTTTACTGGACTTAATGGATCAAAAAAGAAAAGGAGCGTCCTGAAGCCTGGTTCTGGKGTGGTTCGGGTCCGGATCAGATCTTTTTAGAGACAGATATARAATCAGGTTCTGCATGAAGCTCTGATAAAATCTGTCCATTCTTCTGAAAGTCAACATGTTCTGGGTTCATTCTGTCAAAATAAACAAGAACTGCTGCAGTTTGCTGTTTTATAATTTGCATTTTTAGATTTAGTTAATTGCTTTGTATTTAAAATTGCTATTCTTGTATTAAAATGTTTCTCTAAAACATTTTGTTTAAATGGTCCTTTGTTTATAATATTTATATTGTTTATTTTTATTACAACGTTAAAGGCATTTGTTCTAAATTTGAGCAGACTCATAGCACCAATGTTTATTAAATGTATGAATTTATTGGCATGGTGAACAATTAAATTATTCGTTTGATTTATTTAGCTTTTATTAATTAGGTTTAGTGTTAATTAATGCCATGACTGAAAATTTACTTAAATAGTTCAGTTAATTTAATAAGTTATGCAATTTAGTGTCGTGTTGAACCTTTATTTAAAATTTCAGTTTAATTTAAGAGTTAATTTTGTCATGACTWCTCGGATCAATAAGTCTTATTTTGAAAAGCAAACTTTACTCAGGAAGTGACGCAAGCGAAAACAACTTCTCTTTGTAGTGCAGTTCCGCTAATTGTAGTCCAAACTCCACTGTTCGCTTGCTGACGTCACAGGTTCTTCCAGAAGCCGTCTCGCGTTCGTGTTAGGACTTTCGGTTCGGTTCTGGTTCTGGTTCCGAGGCGGGATGTCGGTTTTAAACACGGCTCTTCACGAGCAGCTGGCCATCATCATGGCCGCGCTGACCAAGGCGGCGGTGGCGGAGATCTGCGAGGTGGTGGACGAGGGCTACGCGGCGCTGCAGCAGGAGATCACCCGGAGCCACAAGGAGAACCAGGACCTGAGGAAGAAACTGCACCTCATCGAGTCCATCGTGGTCCCGGGAGGAGGCGGGGGGAAGACCGAGGGGAGCACGGTGGGCACCCCGCAGCAGCAGCCGGACAGAGAGCGAGGAGAAGCGGCTGCCGCCTCCGGAGCAGCCGCGGGGGAGGAGCGGCAGGAGGTGAGCGCTCAGGTGGCCGTGACTGACCCGAAGCCCCGTTAAACACTAAAACATTTATTTACTGATTTATATTCAGAACATTTCGGTCAAATTCAGAGTCTGAAATGAATCATTTTGAATCAGACAGGAGAGCTGTGACCACTCTTGCAACCCCAAATGTGGCACAGGGCTGGATATCGATTCAGATTTCCCAAATTGATTCGATTCATGATTCAGTTTGATTTTTAAATTAGTTACGGATATCATGCAGTAACATTTATTTTGATAGAAGACATTCTCAAAGGAAATAATTATGTAAATAGTAGAAATTAATTCTAACTTGGTGCGTTGGTAAAATTATAAACATTAAGTTTAATCTTGAAACAAAATTGTCTCAAGTTTCAAAGGGTTTCAACTAAAAATGAATTACGAGAGAAATTGTTGTTGGATACATTAGTTAAGAGACTAATAATAATTTTCTTGATCATTAAGAAGTGATGGAATAAGGTTACATTAGAAGAGGTGAGCCCATTCTCAAACAGCCTGCGTCAAATATTGACGTTTGGGCAGGGACCGACCAAGCGTCAACGTCAGTCATTCTAAAACATTAACGTCGGTGTTGTAAAGTGTTAACGTCGGTGGTCGTGGTTATAAAGCGTTAACGTCGGTTGTTATAAAGCATCAACTTCGGTCGTTATAAAGCATCAACTTCGGTCATTATAAAGCATCAACTTCGGTCATTATAAAGCATCAACTTCGGTCGTTATAAAGCATCAACGTCGGTCGTTATAAAGCATCAACGTCGGTCGTTATAAAGCATCAATGTCAGCCGTTATAAAGCATTAACGTCAGCCGTTATAAAGCATTAACGTCAGCGTTATAAAGCATCAACGTCGGTCATTATAAAGCATCAACTTCGGTCGTTATAAAGCATTAACGTCAGCGTTATAAAGCATTAACGTCAGCGTTATAAAGCATTAACGTCAGCGTTATAAAGCATTAACGTCAGCCGTTATAAAGCATTAACGTCAGCGTTATAAAGCATTAACGTCAGCGTTATAAAGCATTAACGTCAGCGTTATAAATCATTAACGTCAGCGTTATAAATCATTAACGTCAGCGTTATAAAGCATTAACGTCAGCGTTATAAAGCATTAACGTCAGCGTTATAAAGCATTAACGTCAGCGTTATAAAGCATCAACGTCAACGTTATAAAGCATCAACGTCAGTCGTTATAAAGCATTAACGTCAGGCGTTATAAAGCATTAACGTCAGTCGTTATAAAGCATTAACGTCAGTCGTTATAAAGCATTAACGTCAGCCGTTATAAAGCATTAACGTCAGCCGTTATAAAGCATTAACGTCAGCCGTTATAAAGCATTAACGTCAGTGTTGTAAAGCATTAACGTCAGTGTTATAAAGCATTAACGTCTGTGGTTTTTCAGCTTCCAGAGGTGGTCCTGATTAAAGATGAAGACTCCGACAGCGATGACATCATGGAGGAAGGTGAGCAGGAACTGCTTTCATAAAGCAGATTTCTGAAGATAAAACCTAAAATCTGTTCACTTCATTCTCCAGGTAACAGAAGGTCTGCAGGCGGCGACGCAGTGGCAGCGGTGGCGGTCAGAGAAGCCGTGCGTTCGACTCCGGGCAGCTGGCCCAGGCAGCGGCGGCGCAGTCAAGGAAACGGTGAAGATCTCGAGGCGTCTTCATCAGAGAGTCAGCTGACGGCAGCGCCGCAGAGGAACGTCTCCGTCTTCTCCCTGGACTCGCCCCGCAGCGAGCCGGGCCGCTCCTCTCCGCTCCTGGAGGAGGTCCAGGTGGAGGCCGGCGAGTCCAGCTGCTCCTACTCCACCCAGATGGAGGTCCACCTGGTCCAGGACTGCTCCCTGGTGTCCCCGAGCTCCGGCGGGCAGGTGTACTACAGTGGTCTGACCGAGTCCACGTCAAACCGAGCAGAGCTGGACCTGAACGTGGACCCGGTCTGGACCAAAGCGTCCAAAAGTCCCGYGGGGTTCCCTCCGTTTCATCAGCGCGAACACGTGGACAGAGACTCCTTTGGGCTGAAGCTGGTCAGCGTCTCTGGATCYGGACCCCAGGACTGCAAGGCGTCCGGCAGCAGGAGCTCGTTCCAGTACCAGGMCGGTGCCGGAGTCCTGACCTTCGGTCTCTACGGGGACCACCCGGGCCARGCCCTACCGGTCCCCGCCTCCCAGAGGAAGAGCTACATCTGCTCGGTCTGCAGCAAGACCTACGCTAACGCTCAGAACCTGGAGGTCCACATGAGGATCCACACGGGCGAGCGGCCCTTCACCTGCGACCACTGYGGCAAAAAGTTCACCCAGTCGTCCCACCTGAAGTCCCACCTGAACGTCCACCGACAGGACCGCTCCTTCCTCTGCTCCGTCTGCTCCAAGAGCTTCATCAGCAAGTACAGCCTGAAGCTGCACATGAAGAAGAGCCACCTGGACCCGAGGCCAGCGGGTCCAGAGGGTCCTGGACTGAGTGCTAACGGGTCCAGAGGGTCCTGGACTGAGGGCTAACGGGTCCAGAGGGTGCTGGACTGAGAGCAAACAGATCCAAAGGGTCCTGGACTGAGAGCTAACAGGTCCAGAGGGTCCTGGACTGAGGGCTAAAGGGTCCAGAGGGTCCTGGACTGAGGGCTAACAGGTCCAGAAGGTCCTGAACTGAGGGCTAATGGGTCCAGAGGGTCCTGGGCTGAGAGGAAACAGATCCAGAGGGTCCTGAACTGAGTGCTAACAGGTCCAGAGGGTCCCGGACTGAGGGCTAAAGGGTCCAGAGGGTCCCGGACTGAGGGCTAAAGGGTCCAGAGGGTCCTGGACTGAGGGCTAACAGGTCCAGAGGGTCCTGGACTGAGGGCTAACAGGTCCAGAGGGTCCTGGACTGAGGGCTAACA